TGCTGCAGGACGCTCTTCCTACATCGCTCGCCAACGTGCTACGGCGTCATCGATCCATGACGAGGCTAGATCGCTGGTCAGGCTTGCACCGCAGTTAGAGTATAACTAAGATATTGAATGTGAGGACTAATCTATTTCAGTTGAGTTTGGAAACAGAGGAAGACAAAGGTTTTGCGAAGGCCAAGTAGTTGCGAGAATGGATATACTGAAGGAGTTTGGTTGATATGGCTTAGCGTGAAACGACGAAGACGATTGCGAATGCAAGACGACCCCATTGAACAATCTTCGTGACCCAGGGAGTGTCGCGAGATAGTATCCGTGATAGTAGTTAAATGCGCCTTCAAGGACTTGTTGATAGTCGCAGTAGAGCCACAGTACGTGATGATGCCAGTATACCAGAATTGAGGCAAGTTCTCCAAGCCCATATAAATATTGCGTGTCTGGGGGTTTCCTTCCGAAGTACTCTACAAACGAACTGGAGACGAATCCTTCCGACAGACCCACGACGACAAGGACCGCTGAAGGTTCAGAAAGAGCTTAGCTATTCTAGCAGAAACGAATATAGCCCAGCAATGGCGATGACGACAACCACAACGCCTGATAGCGAAGTTGACGATTTTATCAGAATGCAGGACTTTGAATGAATTCATCAATGCCTCATCACATCGATCCAGATTTTAGGAGATGTAAACGTGAAGTTATGTTGGTAGCGTTGTGGTGCATTCACTGGGAGTGTGTTTGACCCTGACGATTACCAACATCATTCCTGTTGGCCGTGTCTCTGGACGTGCTGCTTTTGAAATGTCGGGTAACAGATCCTCCAAGGGTCCTCGAAGGGTCGAGGTGTATCATTGCATAATTACACAGTGGCCTAAGAAGGAATTACTACATCTATAAGTATTCCTTGAATCTGTTGGGATGTATCGCACTGTGAAAGGCCCACAATGTGGCCTGTGCAACAACGTTCCCTTTATCTACATGTCTCCGTCCTTGCTCTAGAGGAGACCCCTCTTCCTGCCAGGCCTAGACGAGTGCTTTCTCATGCCTAGGCTAGGTACGTCTAGAATATCCATTACTATGAGTGGTGACTTTGTTGATCGAGCTCTCCCATACCCGTCGACATACTCACAGCTCATTCCATGAAAACAAAGAAGATTTCGCAGTTTCGTTTGGTGCAAGCCATCGGCGGCAAAGCTCTTGAAGTCTGCCTACCAGAGCGGTGCAGCATAGAAAATGATAAGACCTCGCGTCCTCGCAACGGTTACCTGTTACGGTGAGTTTTGTAGAACTCGGGAATAACCATAATGCATGTAGTGTCACAACATTCATTCATGCCAGTCGCTCAATGCGCTTAAGGTGCGATTCTCATACGGTCAGGAGGAGACAGGGCTGGTGCAGATGTTTGAATGCTGAGACTTTGGTACATTCAATAGCAAACTGCATTTCTGGCACCGCAGTTACGGCATCGAGCAATGATTGCCGTACAAACATGCCCCTGTCTCTGGAGTATCTAAACAGGTCATGGGACTTGGAACCTCACTCCATCTAAGCTATCTGTTGAGAGATGTAGGTCAACATGGCCAGCAGAACCTCACCCTGCGTCAACAGCAAACTATTTGGCAGAAATTTTGAAACTCTGCTTCACCCTACTCATTGACGAAAGATTCATTTTGACCGCTGATACTGTGTCTCCTACCTAGGCTCAAATCATCAACATCTACACGCAATGCCATCTCTTTTCGCGCGCTGCAACCGGTCTCTTATGCAGAGAATTGCACCGGCGGTTCTTGCTGGCTTGCTTGGGTTTGTTTTGATTTACACTTTGCCAACAAGCGTTCTGTCTTATCTGATAGAAAGCCCGTCTCCAGTTGCTTTTATTCATCCCAGGTTGCAGTCAACCCCTCCACCCTCAAAATATCCAGCTCACGCAGTTGCCCATCGATATGAGACTCAAATCGTCTCACAAGATCCCCTCATTATCTATATTCACGACTTTTTGAACCAAGACGAAATATCTCACGTTCTTGCAGCCAGGTAGTGAAGTCGCATTTTGCTCAATTGGGTTAGAAAGCTGACTAGCGGTGTGTAGTGAAGGTAGATTCGAGCCATCTAAGGTGTACAACGGCCCAGAACGCTTCGTCGATCCCAAGACCCGCATCTCAGAATCTGCTATCCTCCAACCGGACATCATCACACGACGTATCAAAAGAAGAGCGACCTCTTTTAGGGGTTGGCGCAACAACTCTACCTTCATCGAAGACCTCAAGGTCCAGCGGTACGGCTTCAATGGTTATTACTCCTTTCATTACGACTGGGATAAGATGACTCTTGAGGGAAACCGTGTGGCCACATTCATGGTGTATCTCACCGATTCGTGCACTGGCGGGGGCACCAACTTTCCCCGCGTCGACAAGCCAGTTGACCAGCGATGGTGTGGCATCATAGACTGCGAGGAGACAGAGTACGAAGGAACTACCTTCAAACCAGTTGCTGGTTCGGCGGTCTACTGGGAGAATATGCATGTCAATGGCAGCTTTCATCGTGGTGTTCGACATGCCTCTCTGCCGGTAGAGTCTGGTGAGAAAGTTGGATTAAATATCTGGTTTTGGGATATGGACTGGAGGCCTTTTGAGCAGTCAGTTTAGTGAGAATGGTATTCTCATATATGACGTACTCCAATGTTTTAGTAACTCCCATGTCTATCATGCATTGCACTTGAGCAACGTCTAAGAAGCGCCCATGCATCCATTTGATGCATAATAAACTAAGGAAATCCGACTGGAGATGTGCGAATTCTACTCGGTAAAGCAGCAATACATTCATCTCATGCAGCTATGCACTGAATTTCAGTCTCACTGCGTGCTTCTCTTTTGCATACCTAGCTACTAGTAATGGTCAGGTCACGGTTTACATGGGAGTGGTGGACCGATGCGAAATATTGCGACGACACTTCACTTGCTACAAAACCTATCGCAATCAAACTTTTGATCGTTCCTTTCCCTGATAGTTGTGTGAAACACAGTTCGAACTTCCAACCCGTTAGAATCCACACAAATGTTGCTGGTTCGACCCATTTCTCAGCTGCTTAGCCATGATGACCTCCTTTCGCTGCTGCTTTCTTTGCTCTCGATGCCTTCGAATTGGCGGATTCGACTGAATGCCACGAGTCGAGGGAGTGCTGACCGTTTACACCCAAGTCACCTCTGTCCTGACGTAGGTGATTCAGATCGTGATTGTAATCATCTTGTTTAGTATTGACTTCGTGTCTTGATGCCCTTGAGCCGGGGAGCTTTGGTTGGCCCTCCTTCACTTTTTGCGCCTTGCTGTTCCTGGAGCGCTGAGAGTCTAGGGAGGTCTGGCAGCCTCCACCACACTTTTTAGCATTGAGTTTGTCGAGGTTGTTGATGTATTTGGCGTCGTTCGGTTTCAGTTGATCTCTGTGAAACTTCTTGTCGTCGGCCTTGATCTGAGATTTCGAGGGCTTGTTGGCCCTTGATGCGATGGAAGGGGCATCATTGAGAGGGACGTCAGTCATCTCCTTGTCGTGTTGCTGATTGGACATCCCGGCATCTTGAGTATCTGAGACAAGGGCATCAAGCGCGGCCTCGTCCCTAGGTTGAAGGTCGGGCTCATCTGTGACTAGGTAGGACGTCAGAACCAGATGCACAGGTCTTTAGGCTCTTTCAACTTTACCTTCTTCCCCTGCTTTGATATCAATAGCGATGGGGAGTTTGCCATGTCTGAACACTGGCGCCCAGTTGTAAGGGCGTTCGGGGGCAACGTCGGGGGAAATGTCGGGGGAAACGTCGGGGGAGATGACAATAGGATGTGCAGCTACAGAAGCTGCAAGAGCCTCCAAGAGGACGATAATAGTGAGGAGCATTTTGTAGAACTGGCTTTCACCTGATCGTGAGATGGTAATGTAAGGTAGCAGAGGGCTAAGATACCTTGCAGAGACAGAGAACTAAACCCATTAACTAGGTGGATTCAATGCTGCTTAAATCTGTTATACCGAGATTCCTTTCTGTTGAGAAAAGGATAAGCTTCATTTCATGCATGACTCGCTCCCACGCGACCGGGAAAAGCATCGACTTGGAGAACAGCTAACCATCCGGTTAAGATTCTTATTAGCGCGGATATTGAGTTAAGCTAGAGCTTTTGTGTTGTTCCTGACATAGAGTTGCGCTAGAGCAGCGAGGACAAAATGCGGCATTTCTAACGAGCAAAACTTGCCGAAATAGCATGTTCAGAAAGAAAATCAGTTCCCTAGCAAGCTTTCAGCCAGCTGTGGTGGGGTGACTGGTCTCGCCCGCCCAGAGTCGAAACCTTAAGGGATGAGCTGGTATTTGAGAAGACCATAGAAGCCGAAATAGGCGTATTACCCCTCTCCATCCCCTCATTCACCAATGATCCTCGTTGACCCAATTCTCCGCAGTCCGCCTCAAAGCAGTCGACATCACAGAATTTAACGACATCCCTACCCTCGCTCCGCACACCGTTAATGCCATCACAGACGGGGGAGGACACCCCACGTAAGATATGACGCGGTCGATAACTTTGTAAGCGGCGGGCTGGTCCGGTATGGCGCCGAACAGGCTATGAGCCGATAGATCGCAACGTGCGGTCTTGAACGATGATTTGGAGCTTGGCTTTCGCTATCATAGTGGGGTTCATGGATGTGCGGGGGATTTCCGATTTGAACCTCAGGCTTTTATCACCCCGCATACAAGAAAGGCATATCAAACTTACGCCTGTCCAGAGAACAGTAAGCGCATCGATTTCTTGATCGGCCGCCGAAAAACGGCCGTCGGAAATCCAGATCAGTATCTAGGCTCGAACTCTTGCTTTAAGCCTTACCAGCCATATGGCCTCAACTGTGAGCTTATGATTCTTGCATGATCCACTAGTACAACCTGAGTTCGCGGGCACATGTGTGGAAATCTCCGAACAATGCTTACTTCCTGAATACTGCAATGTAATTTGTGGACAAGAAGACGTGGGCCAGCGTGGTGTAGTGACATGTACATGGCAAGGTTTCAAGAGCCAAGATGTCGCTAGTTCAATTCCAGCCGCCGGCACGAAGTCCATGCCTCATGAATCTGCAGCCCGTGACGACTCCCGGCTTACGCTGCTCACCATGGTCTCGCGATTTTGGGGCGGCAAATAACCCGGCTGCACCTGAACAAGTGAGTGGCAAGTCAAATGGATGAGGTAACTCGGAAAGGGGACCCACGCGGCGATAAGCCAGCAATTGATCATGGGCATATCTAGCGTTCTGATGATGGCTTTCAGTTCAGGAAGCAGCTCTTTAAACGAACAAGTTGTTCTAAGCTGTGTATAGCTCCTCGCAGCTGGCTATAACCCGAGTGACGTTCAAACACAGGTGGGGAGACAACTTGTATTATTGACGAAATCTGGGATTGACCAGTTCGTGGCCGCATTTACGAGAACAGAAGCTGCTCCATTTTCTTGAGCGCATATTGTTGACCCTTTCCTCACGAACGAGCCTCAACATTCACTCATTTCCACCGTTGAAGTTCCAATTCCGCAGTCCACATCATGCACGCTAAGCTGCCTTGTGTGGGTTATTGGTAGTGACAACTCTTTACTCCTCGTCGACAGGGATCGCTCGGCGATCGCCAGAGGGTGAGTTAGGGGCTGCACTCTCGTCAGTGTACTATCTGTATTGACGGATAATGCGGAACCTACGACCATGGAACTCATTACCAGAGCGGGCCTCAAGATCAGCCAATTTGACCACTTCGGGGGCGGCGAGAACAAGGCTGAGACCGCTCAAAAGGGCAAAGAGGGTGAAGGTCTTGAACTGCATGATTGAAGGTCTTGAAGTTGTAAAGGTGGGTGCCGATTGAGGAGTAATTTGCTTGGGATGAATGAGGAGAAGAGGTCTTGGAGGCATGGAGGTTTTTGAGAGCCTTTTATATCAATCAAAATGTACGGGCTCTAGTAGTGTTCAGACTTCGGCATGACCTGTCAAACTTTCAGCAAGGTGTTGGTTTCTCAGCTGCCCCCAAGATCCATCAGCTTTCTGGAGTTCCAATGGATGAGATGCTGGGCTTGTGGCAACCCCTTCACCGAGCATCCACTGCAAGGAGATGACTTCGAGCTGAGAATCGATAAATCTTGTTGGGGCCTGAAGTTCGCAGTGCCGCATCTGTGTTGGGCTATTCCCGGGCGATCGCTCTCAGTGGAGGGACAACAACAAAGACGGTGAAATATGCCACCTTTCCAACTGCCAGTACGACAACTAGATTGAACCGCGCGCATAAACACGATTGGGAGACTCTGCACCTTGTGGTCGAATTGCAACGCAAACCTCTTGGCGCGAAAAAGAGATGTCTGTTCAGACCAGGGCCTTTGTATCCACTAAAGACGGTGTCGCTGATCACGCTGGGTCTTGGCAAACAATTCAATCAGGTGCATATTGTCTTCGTGGGGGCCTTTTGCAACTCCCCTGCCACGATAACGCAGCTTGAGTATGAGAAGCAATACCAACAAGCGTTGGCACATGCATTTTAACCAGGAGTCAAAGTCGTATTGCCTCCGGTACGAAAAGTTGATCTTGACATGCACTAATGACCAAACATGCTTGCGGCAGCACAGGGTGATACAACGTAGGCCATTGTGGCTCAAGCCCTCGTCCGGCCCAAGGTCGACTTGACAAGTGTTCGTTTGCCACCTTGTCGGTCTTGAAATGCTAGGATACATGCAATGATAGCAAAGATAAGACAACTCAAAGTTGCAGCGAATCTCATGCGGTCTCAATCCCACCGCTCAATATCAGCACTGCATGTCTCCGGGAGGGTAAAACAAAGAAATTTACTGTTGCATCGAGTATTGATGCACGGACACGGCGTTGAAAGGGATTCACAGTCAACAGTGTCATGTCAGAATATGTCCCTGCCGCTGTAAGCGTGAACAGTAGTAAATGGGGTTTCTTACTGCAATGGTCTCATGAAAGTCAACAGATTTAGCTGGTTTTTGGATTCGCTTGTGGTGGAATGGAATTCAGGTAGAGACCGCTTATTTTTTTTCCTGTGTCTAGGCGGCTATCGTTCCTGTGTACGTAATCAAATATTTATATTACGGATGACGACGGCGACAACGATCACGAAGACGATAGTCATAATAAAGAAGAGGATAGTAAAGTAGAGTATGTATGATAACCGGTCTCTTCGAAGAACTTTGAAAACCGACTTCTGCCTGATGTGTCATGAGAAGACTACATTCCCCCACGGTACCCACGATGCTTATCATGTCCCCCAAAAGGCAATAAATTCAGATTCCAGAGCAGCCAGTCCATTAGGAAGCTGGATATCTGGCTGGAGGCTTTTATCGGTTTCCTCCAATAATCGGAGAATCAGGATAATAGTAGCTAAACATGTTCAATCCAATTTTCTGCCCTGAATGAACAGGCAATCCAGCATGCACCATGCGATAATCTCCGCTGCCGTTCATGTGCATGTTGTTCCAGAAGATGGCGTTTTCTTTCTTGGGCTTCACCAGAAGGCCCATGCCCGTGTCCGTCCTGGAAAACTTCTCACCATCCGCATCCGAAGCCACGCCATTGATGTCCGGAAAATATGTCTCGCCTCCAGTGCAGTTGTCCCCTAGGTACGCAAAGATAGTACCCAAGCGGTTGTACGGTCGATTCGGAATGTGTTCTAGATGTGTCTCTTCCGCGAGTTTGTAAAACCAGTCGTAATGCAGTTTGAATCTCTCACTAACATCATACCTCACGAGCTGGAGCGGCTCGATGTCGATGTGTTGGATGTTCCCAAGAAAGCTGCGCATGCGGGTGGTGAGACAGGATGCAACCGGGTCAGCGTGTGGAATTCTAGCTGAGTCGGATGTTCGATATGATCGATCAATAGTGGGTGAGAGGTTGTCGTCGTAGACGAGGGAGTGTTTAAGGTCTTTTGAGCTGTTGATTGAATGAGTATCAGTATAGCAAGGACTGTGGTTTTCAAGATGGAACGGCTTGAACTGCCATTATCTCACTATTCATGAACCAAATGCTCAATTTCTTGGTCCTTGAGGAAGTTGTTGATGTACAAAACGACGGGGTCGAGCGATAGAATTTCGACGGAGTAGTTGTGAGAACAGTCGATGGATGTCCGGTCATCAATTGTTTCCATTCGAGATCCAACTGGCAAAGATAGCTTCGGAAATGCGAAGGTCATCACCAAAGCCAGGACCGGTAACAATATCGCGAATACGCCAAAGTTTCCCAGTGCACGCGGCACTTTCTGCTGGAGCTTCAAGGAAGGTCAGCTTTATGAATTGATGTCAAAATCTGACATTCCACACGTCAATATTTGCTTACCAGAGAAGACAGGCCTGGTTCAGCCTTTGTCTCCATGTTTTGTTCTTTCAAGGTAATTGTCGCTTTTGAGTGGAAGGATTGGCATCGACGAATTAATCCTACGAGAAACAACCTTGGGAAGTCTCTGTTGACATGGCCAACTCTTGAGAATCACCCCAGTGTCGAAAATGGTGTTGCCTCTGGTCTCAACCACATACACACACGTAGTCTCCACCCCCACAACGCCGTTCTGAAGGACTTGCCCGACCCGTGTGCGTGGGCGTATTCATGAGCGGGCGCTAGAGCAAACATTGGCAAGGGCTAGATGCAGCCGATTGCCAGTACACGGTGCACACAGGTAATGCCACCAGTACCCAGGCAAGAAAGTACGTCGCACTGTTGTTTGCTGTTGGAAAACAGTAGGTATTCTATGAATCGGCATGCATATCCAAAGCGCGGACAAGGATACTGGGGACAGCTGATCTTCGTGTACAAAGACGACAGCGTTGGATTGATGACATGGTGTCATAGCCACCATCCACGGGTTTCTGGTCCCTCTTCAGCGTGCATTTGCCTCTCGGTATTCAGGTGACACGAGGAAGAAGATTACAGTCAGGCGTACCAAGTGTTGGTGTTTAGGGAGTAGATCCGACGCACGGCAGGAAGGATCAGTCTTTCGAATCCACCTGCTTCTATGTGGAGCGAGCGCTTGAAAACTTGAAACGTTTAGTCGCCCATGCTACTTCTTTGAAGTAACAACAGCCTGGGACGGACTCGTCGGCCGAGCAGCCAATGCTCATCCTCTTCTCCCGTCATTGACCGAAAAATTTCCCATAATGTGTCTGCTGCATGCTACGATATCGCGCATTTCTACCTCCTTGGTGTCAGATGTGACCTTGTCTGCTTGAAGATAGGTCTATCTTTCATTAATGATGCCCAGTAGGGACAATCTCCCTGACGTCTTGCTTGTTACAGGTAGTAGAATTTGGCAGCAGAGGGTGGCGTGACTAAGACCGACGTTGTCGCTGGAGTCTCCGGTGGATGGGCTCAGCATGGTGAGATTGCCAACACGACTTCGGACCTCACGTCGACAACCTCCAGCCAATTGCGGTTTCGCACCCATGAGGTAGTTTAGTAATGTTACCAGGCTTCAAAGATAAATGCAGATGCCGCTTTGCAACAACATCTACACATTCATGACCATGGTCATTATTGGAGAGCCGGACCGTGACCTGTCCTGGCTTTGCGCGTCGCTTCCTTCCACCAAGCCATCTGGTAGTGTATTGCATGTCTTCTTCGATGGGACTTCTTTCCATCTCTCTTTGGCAAAGAGTAAGAGAAGCTCAGGTTTTAGCGGTAATTCATGTTCTACTTTGGCACATGGCGTGTACAGTAATGACTTGTATCGAGACTATTCCAAATTTACGATCGTCACCAGCCAAAAACTAATTACTTATGGAACGAGACTTTCCGTCCTTGACTAGAGAAGTTGCTTGAGATTGCTGGTCAAATTGATAAAGTTAAGGGGCTGGATCCTTCGCCGTTGCCCGGCTTTGGTATGCTGACACCGAATCTGACGCTTTCCATTCCATGGGCTGAGACATGTCAGCCCTCTCCTCGGCCCTTCTCCCGTGAGGCTGCTTATGCGATATGATATTCCGGAAGTAGTAAAACCTTACCCCGACTTTCCTCCCGGATAAAACGTTCAAGCCTGCCGCAAGCCACTGAAGCCTTGGCCGAGACTCATGAGAGCGA